CGGCGGGGCGCTCCTGCCTTACCTGGCGCCACCACCAGCGCGCGCGCGCCGCAGCTGCGGAGGCAGTGCAGTAGGGGACCCCGGCGCAGCGCGGTGGGCACAAAGGCTGTGCGCAGGCCGGCCTTGGCCAACCCGAACCAGAGCCACAGGAACTCGGGGCTGGCGGGGAGGAGCAGCGCCACGGTGGCTCCGGGCGCCAGAGGGGTCGCGGCTTCTGCAGCTCTGGCCGAACCATACCCTTCCCCCTCTGCCCGAGCCCCGCCGCTTTCGGCCTCCCTGTCCCCAGCGCGGGGTGCCGCCTGCTCGTCCTCCTCGCCGCTTCCCTCGACGCCTCGGGGCCCCGCGTTCCAGCCCCGCGCGCGCAAGAAGGCGCGCGCTACCCGGTTGCTCTGGCGCTCCGCCTGCGCGTAGCTGAAGCGCCGCGCGCCATGAACTAGGAAAGTGTGCGCGGGGCGCTCCCGGGCCAGTTGCGCGAGGCGCCAAGCCAGGCTGCAGCCTCCTTCGGGACCTTCCGGGTCGGCGGCAGCAGCAGCCAGAGCGCGCGCTCGGAGGGCCTGTTTGCATCGTAGTGCACGCACGGTGAAGGCCAAGTCTGCGGCGAGCCAGCGCAACTGCGGCCAGAGGGGCAGCTTGAGCAGCAGCAGGGGCAGCAGCAGCAGCAGGGGCAGCAGCAGGAGGGCGGCCATGGTGCCCTCTTTCTTGACGCGGCCCGGTCTGGCCCCGGCCTCGGCCGCTCACAACCAGCCCCGATACTCTCTTCCGAAAAACTGGAGCTGCTCGCTCTGGCTCTTAGACCTCTCCTTCCCGGGAACGCGCGTGCGCTGGCACACGCCCCTTCCCAGCCAGCCGTCCCACGCCCCCAACCACCCCCCTCCCACCCCTCAACTCCCCACGGGCGGAGAAAAGCGGCCCGGGAGGAGTGCGTGTGGGGGCGGCCTCCCACTCCCAGCCCTCCCCACAGCTACGCCCCGCCCTAGGCGCGCTCCCTCCCAATTCCTAGCTGCCAGCGCCGCCCAGGTCCCAGCAATCTTCAAGCCTTCCCCAATAGCGAGGTCAAGTCCCCTCTTAGGTCCTCTTTCCTCAAGGGCTGTTTAGACACCTGGCTGGAGTTTGGCCTACCAGTCAGAGCCAGGGCGCCTGGGTCGGCTCATCTTTCCCTCACACGTCCCACTCTCACCATGATGGGAAGCTGCCAATGCTCTCTCCCGAGACTCAGCTGGCCCCTTGCCTTACAGGGTGCCGCGCTGCAAGTCCAGGCGGGGTAGATAGACCCATGCCCTCTCCAGTCCCAGCATCAACAGCAACCCCCGGGGGCATGGGTGGGGGCCCAACGTTAAGTAGGGGAAAGGTGGAGGCCAGATTTCAGGAGGGGCCAAGGCTGATGCCCCTCCCTTTGGGCAAGGGTACAGTAACTGGCCAGCCAGCAAATGCTTTCCATTCTGGTTTTAATTGGGGCAGAGGAAACTGGGGAAGAGCCTCTGGTGGCTTAGACTTTGAAAGGGAGGGCAGTAACTGTCGGAGGGGAAAGCCTCATTTGATCCAAGACAACTTTGCAGGCTGAGTGGGAGCTGTCTGCAGCAGGCCCAAACTTCACTGCTCTCAGCCGGCCACCAGCTGCCTTGGACCTAGGGAACAAATGCAGAGCCAAGGAGCTCTCTTCTGCTGGGCGAGGGGAAGGTGGCTGACTGTGGAAGGAAGGGTTTCCTTTCGAGTGGGGCGGGGGCATCTGAACTCCCCAGCAGGCACAGTTCTGTCCACAATGCGCGTTAAGAGCACCCCTTGTCCTCAGTCCGATGGCCGCTCAGTCGCAGAGGGTAAACTTGGCACAGACAAATTTTAGCTTTTGGAAGCCTCGCATTTCCTGAGGAGAGATGGGTGGAGACAGACCCCAGCCTATCGGACATGGCGTGGGCATCATTTCTGCTCAGACAGGTCAGTGCCCGTGGGCACCCCAGCAGTGGCAGCAAGCCAAGTCCTATACCACGCAAGAAAGGGGCGACAGGGGCAGTCGTCCAAGCCACACGGAGGGGTGCCAGTTCAACTGCAACTACCTGGACAAGCATGGGGTAAGTGGGGGCAGGAACTCTGGCACAAGAGGTTCTGGCTTCTTTTATTATCATTTAAAAACAACTTTTAAAACTCCATTATCTCTGCCAAAAAAAAAAAAAAAAAATACAACCAAGGAAATGGAACCACTTGACAGTTCTGTGGCACGTGTGTCCTGGACGCCCTGGGGCTCTGGCCCAGCCTGAGGTTCCTTCCGACACCTGCAGCATCTGCCCCAAAGGGAGAACAGGCAGCCTGACCAGCGTGAGACACGAAATGCCCTTATGGAGAGTGCCTAGGAAGTGTCTGGAATAAATCAAGACCCGAGGGGGGGTGGTGAGCGGCACAGTCTTCACTTTCACCCTCACCTCTGGCCAGCTGCTCTGCTCTGTGAAGAGCTCTCTGGGAGGCTGGGGGAGGACGGGGGCGGTGGGCTCCCAGCAGTCCCGGCTCCCGGCTCAGGCTCCACGCAGCCCTCCACCTCAGTGGGAACCCAGAGGTGGCAGGAGCAGCAGGTGATGGGCTGGAGCCCCAGAGGCAGGGGCGGGGCTAGGCCGAGGCAGCGTTTCAGGCTGGGCTGGAGAAGGCAGCTCCTCCTGCCGGCCAGGCAGGCGGCTGCGCAAAAGGGAGAGGGTGCTGTCCCTACTGCCTCCCAGCCCATGGGCCTTTCATTCACCAAGGAGGGGGCAGTCCAAGTGGGAATGGGGTGGGGGGCACAGGGCCTCAGTCACTGTCGGACCCCACAGCAGAGGATCCCTTCCGTTTCCGCTTGGTGGGCTTCGGTTTCGTGTCTTCTTCCTCCTAGAAGAGATTGCAGGGGATCACTAGCCTTCACAGCTACCAGCCCCACCTCCACCTGCACCCCCACTCCTCCTCCTCCTCCTGTACAACGGCTGGGAGCTGACCGAGGCACTGCTGGAGCCAGACTCTTCCTCAGCATTGGGGGGCTGGGTGGCATTCTTGCGGCTCCGGGGGCTGGACAGAGCGGCTTTTCGTCGGCTCTTGGGTGGCTTCGTGGAAGAGTCCTCGTATTCCTCAGCCAGGGAGAAGAGATCGCTGAACCTTGGGGACAGGAGAGTGCCCGTGAGCTCTCACAGGGGGCCTCCCTGCCCCACGGCCACCCTCCAGTCCTTTTCTCTGCCCACACGCCTACGTCTCTACTTCTCTTCATCCCCAGTCTCGTTGGTCACTAAATCTGTGTCCCCAGCATGCCCCTTCTTCCCCTACTTCCTGAGGCCTAAAGTACAAGGAGCCTCACTTCATCTTGTGAGCTTCGTCACAGCTTGCCTGGACGTGCTGCAGAGCCTGGAGAATGGGGGTCTGGCTGAAAACTGGAGGGAGAAGCGGAGAACAGGGAAGGAGACCAGTGAGATGTCTGGAGCTTATTACTTGCAACCCAAGGGCTGATTCTGCAGTGGCTTTGGGCCTGGCCTGGTGTCCGGCCCCACCCCCACGGGCTGCAAGGTGGTGTGGACAGGCCGGTACCACACAGGCCAGACTCGAGGGTGGGCGCGTACAGTTCTGCTTGGTGTTGGTCAGGTTGAGACGCAGGTTGTCCAGGTGCTCCAGGATCTGCTCCAGGGTCAGCTGGGCCAGCTTGCTGCTAGAACTCCTCAGGCTGCAGAGAAGTCGCATGAAAGAGTCAGCCTGGGGCAAGCTGCCCCCTCCGGGGCCCCTCCTGGGTAGGAGTGGAGGCGGAGGGGTAAGAGAGGTGCCCCAGAGCTGGGAAAAGAGGAGGTCCGCAGTGGTCCGGTGTCATGCAGCCACACACCACTAGGTGTCGCCCACAAACTAGGCAGGGACAGAGCGGCAGCAGGACTGGCCCTGGGGGGAGCTGGTGGCCCCAAGTCTGCCCAGGCCTCCCCGGCCCATCCCACCTCTGCCTCTTCCGAGGGAGGCTGTTGTTCTTGATGAGCAGGGACTTGATGTGCTCCGCCAGCAGCTCGTCGTGCTTCAAGCACCAGTGCCGCAGGATGCTGGTGGTGAACTGGTCGTCGGGGTGGCAGGGCCGGCTCAGCACCATCTTCACCATCTCCTCGCTGGGCCTGGGCATGGGGCACAGGCTGCAGGCTCAGGCCGCTGCCGCGGGGCTGGTCAATCTCTCCCACCTCTGGCCCAGCTCCCCCACACTGTGCCGCCCCACCCAAGTCTCCTGTCGCTGCCACTCTCACATCCCTCTCCCACTTCTCTTCAGGCCAAGGGAAGCCCAAGCCCAGTTTCATTCTTTGCAGAGCCAGGAGACAAGTGAGAGTTTTCCGTTTCTATGATAGCAAAGGCACGCGCATGTGTCCGTGAGAGAGAGCGTGTGTGCGTGTGTGTGTGTGTGTGCGCGCGCGCAAAAGGACCCACCAAATCTCCTTCGCTTCACTGAGAACAGTCAGGAATCGGCTGGGATGCAAAAGGCAAGCATGTGGAGTGTGGATGCTACTCACCCCCACCCCACCACAGCTGCGGGCTACCCCATTATCCAGCCAAGGAAGACACAGGGGGAGGACTGGGAAGTCTCGGCCCCCACGTGGCCCCCACTTCCGTTAAAAGGCTCAGCACCATTTCTAACTCTAAGGCAAGAAGAGAAGAGGTGGAAGGAAGAGACACGCATCCACACAGCTGCTGCCCGTGTCTGGGACCACTGGGAGCTCGTGAGGGAGACGGCCAGTGACCCCTCGCCTGACACCCTCTCAGATGAGCCATGTGGTGGCCTCCAGGGACCAGAATTGCTGTGGCAGCAGGAAACAGAGATGTCCGGTCCCCACCTCTGAGGGCAGCTCCTGGTGGGCAGGGGTAATGGCCAGAGGAAGTCTAGATCCCAGGAGAGCTGCTTGTTTGTGAATCACTTTGGGGGAAGGGCAAATGAGTAGATGTCCACACGAGGGGAAAACAGCCGAAGCGGCAGAACAGAAGCTTCTCACTGAGCCAAGGCTGGGAACTAAAGAGCCCGCAGGGGTGGAACTCACTTCTCTCTCCGGAGCTGAAGCAGCAGGCAGGACAGGGCCTCTGGGTGCTCTGTGGAGAAGGGTAGAAGTTGTCCAGAGGAATGCATAATTCCAGGAAAACCCTGGCACCTCTCCCATTCCTCAGCCAAGAGACTCAGGAAGGAGCAAGGACAATCTTGGACAAGGAGCCAGGAAGAACAATCTCCTATCTCATTCCTCTGAAACCCTCAGACTACAGTCTGGCCTGTAAGAGTCATCGAAAGACAGAGGTGACCGACAGGGACCCTGACCCTGGGAGCCTGTGTGGAGCAGAGGGATCGGCCCAGGCTCACCCAGGAAGCCTAGAGGCCTTAGCTGGAATGGGACTGTCCTCTCCCCACACTCCCAACCTACCACCCCCTCACCCTTGTATTTGAGGTGCTGAAGGATGGGGATTATGGTCTCCAGGGGGATGTTGTGGGCCAGGAAGAGCTGCCAGGCACAGTACTGTTCAAAGGTTTCCCAATCCAAGCTCTGGACTGCAAAAGAGAAAAAAAAAATTCTGTCTCTCTCACACGCACAGAGCTAGTCAGGCGGGGATGGTGATCCTGAGACCCAGACACCGCCTCCAAACAGAGCTTATTTCCAGTCTTCACATAGCTTCTGTATTCCTATTGGCCCTGAGATAAGCGGCAAGTACAAATCTTTCCACTTTATAGAGCCAGAGGCAGACCCAAGAGACAGTGCCCAAGACTACACCGCAGGGTGGGCTGACTTTCTCTCCCCTTCTCAGTCCAGAAGTAGCTTTCCTGTTAACTAGAAAAGCACAGGGTGGGACACCCCCAACAGCCGCGCCCCCCCCCCCCCCGCCCTAGTCGCTCACTTACTGAGGATGTTGAGGACAGAATCTTTTCGAAACATCACCAGGTTCCCCATCATCACATGGCAGACCAGCTCCTGGAGCTGAGGAGGAGGAGGAAGAAGGCAGAACCCATTAGTCCTAACAGAGGCCAGGGGCTAGAATGGAAAGAGAAGCAGGAGGCTCATACAGGCAAATATCAAGGAGGTGAAAGTTCAGTTTACATGACGGCAGGAAAGGGCATACAGGAATGCTGGGGCCTCTGAAGGAAAAAGAGGACCAGTAAAGGCGCAACAGTTCTGAGAGGGGCCCACAGGCCTATTTGGAGCAAAAATACTCATGGAAAAGCTGCGCTTCTAGGCTGATGGCAGAGGGAGAGTGGGCAGGTGCGGCACGGCCGCGGCTGGGTCCCTGCCCCGCCCCTCTGTGCCTGAGGTGGAGGCGAGGGCCGAGGAGGCTGAGCTCTGGGTTAGACGTGGACTGGGGGAGCCAGAGGGTGCCCTCTTCTACGGTGGGGCGACAGCATGGAATGATGGAGCAGACGTGGGTCCCCAGTTCAGGCCTGAGAACAGACACAGCAAAGCTACAGCACCGTGGGGACCTATGTGTGGTGGAAAGGGCATCAGAACGGGTTGACCATCTTCATTCTGAGTCAAGAGGAAGGCCAGTTGAGTCAAAAAACTGAAAAACCCAACGACCCCCTGGGCTTTCCCAGTGGGAAAAAGAGTGCCCAAAGAAGGCAGAGAACTGGGCACCTGCAGGCAGCCCGCCTGCCCCGCCCCACCTCCCTGGGGCTCCGCTCTCCTCCGGGCCCCGCGGCCTCAAGTGCACACAGCGCTGCCGGGGCGTGAAGCTGGGCCCCACCTGCCTCCCAGGCCTCTCCAGGGCCCAAGCTCTGTTCACCTGAGCAGAGTCAATGACAGCCACAATCATGTTCAGTAGCTCCCCGCTCCGCAAGGTCTCATCCGGAAACTGGGAAGAAAAAGGAAAATAAGGCAGGAGTCCATGGCTCTCCCCTCACGACCTCCCACACGCTCAGGGGAAGGCTGGGTTAGCCAGACATGGAGTCCTGACATAATCTCTATATAAAGACCGAACTGCTAGAAAAGTAGGCATCTCATCCTTGAAGAACCCAAGTTTTGTTTCTGTATGTGCACGCCCTGACGAGTACACATAAAGAATGAGTAGGAGTCGTTCAGACACAAAGCTACAGCAAAGGGACTGGACACGACATGGAGTGGGCACAGAATAAGCACCCACGCCCCTGGCAACTAAGAAATCCAGTCCATACTGAGCCTCGGTCACAGAAAAGGTGTAGGTGCATGAGAGTAGCCCGGCGGGGGTGGGTGGAGGAGGCAAGCACCTCTGGAGGCCAGTCCACCAGGGAGGGACCTGCCTGCCACCTGCCGGGCGCCTCTCCCCTCCCCGCTGCCGTGGTGAGTGGCCATGCCCACACCCGTGCCCTGGTTTCCCTGTTCCTGGGCACTTCCACCAAGAGGAGGAAGAACTGATACCTCCTCCTACGTTCCGGTTCCTGGAGAAGACCCTGAGCGAGCCAGGGAAATGAAAGCTGAGTGTCCTGCGGAGGCCTCGGTCTCCGGGAGTCACACAGAGAACCTGAGGCTGAGCTGTGGGGAGGCGAGAAGGCCGGGACACACGGAAATGGCCTGCGGGGGTGTGCGCTGGGTACAGAGGAGGGGCAAAGCCAAGAAGCCAGGTGTATAAACCCAGACCCCAACTCGCACCACATCAAAGAGGACTTCTTGGGGTTCAGACGCTGCTCAAACTTTAATAAGGAAGGTAAAGGAGGGGACAGCATGGTGTGGAAAGAAACGGCCTAGTGAGGCGCGGGGAGGCGAGAGACCAGGAGCCCCCGGGGCCCTGACTTCACAATGCTGGCGCAGGCACCAACCTCTGTGTAGATGGAGGGTGTGAGGTGACACAGCAGGCGCACGTCATCCTCCTGACAGGCTTTCATGTCCATCATCAGGCAGGTGTGCAGGTCGCCCAGCTGGGTGGCCTGGGCAAAGGACTCGTACAGGTTCATCTTTCCTGCGGCGGCTTTGCTGCAAGACCAGACGGGCCTAAGCCGGCAGCCGGACCCCAGCCCCAGCACCCAGCCTCAGGCAGCCCCTAAGGGGGCTCCTGCTCTACAGTCCCTCTGCTGCCCCCCCCATGCATGCCCTGGGTTAACCTGTCTCCTGTCTCCCTCTGGCCTTCCCCAGAGCGCCAGCCAGGGCCGTGAACACCATCAACGGGGTCGCTAGCTGGCGAGTCAAGAACAGGAGGCTCACAGACCCCTGGTCTCTCAGGGCAGTTACACAGGGAACCCCGTCTCATTACGCCACATAGAAAAGTTAACTCAAAATGGATTAAAGGGCTAAATGCAGAAGCAAATTTACAGAGGTGTTAAAAGAACAAATAGAAGCAAATCTTCATAGCATCAAAAACACAAGCGATGAAAGAAAAAATAAATCAAGCTTCGGGAAGTTTTAAAAGTTTCGCATTTCAAAGGACGCCCAGAAAAGGCCAGAGCCTGGGGAAGAGTACTTGCATAATTAATAAGGGATTTATATTCAGAATATATAAAGAATTCCTAAAAATCAACAAAAAGATAAATAGTTCGGTTAAAAATTAGGAAGGATTTGAACACTCTTTTCCAAAGAAATATGCAAATAAGCCCATGAGAGGATGTTCAACATACTGAGTCTCTGGGACATGCAAACGAAAGCACTGGCAGTTCATTTCATTGCAGTGGGAGCCACTTCACGCCCTCGGACGCCAGAACGCAAGAGCGGGACGTGACTAGCGCTGGGGGCGCAAAACACTCTAAGTCAGTGATAGCTGCACAATGCTGGGTACAGAGTAAAAACCACTGAACCGAACACTTGAAGGGTGTATCTGATGCTATGCGAACTACACCAAAATAAAGCTGTTACTTAAACATCTGTGGTGATGACGGGACCCCCAAGGACGCAGGCTGAGCGAGTGCCGGGGTGCTTCCTGACCCCGCCACACGTGGGGCCACACTTGCCTGGCCCTCAGGTAGTACAGCAGGTGGTAGCCGATCTTGGGCTGCTTCTGGTACAGCTCAGAGAGGAGGTCCAGGAGCAGAGAGAAACTGCTATTGTCTTCCTGCATCTGACAGAGATTCCTGGGGTGAAAGGTGGGAGGAAAGGCAGAGCTCACCTAGGGTGGACAATCGGGTGGCGCTTCTCTCCTCTCCTGCGGAGGGAGGCCCACTGCCCCGGGGCAGAGGTGAATGGAGGTGTCCTGAGAGCAGGGCGGATGGAGCGCCACACTCACCTAAATATCAGATAGAGCGGCTTCCCCACAGACTCCTCCAGGGACCTGCAAGCGGAGGGGATATGAGAGTCCATGGCGGGAAGGGCGGAAGGATGGGTTTGTGATGTGCCAGGCCGCGCCTTTCCCAAGCCAGTTAAGCTTCTTGCTGTCCCAGAGAAACCAGGTTCCTGACATGCAGCCACAATCTGGGCTGTTAATGCCATCATGAAGATTCCTGCCCTTCAGGGCGTCCACACAGGAGTCCACCCCATTTGAAGCAGCAAATACTGGGGTTATTAGGCAGAGCAGTTGGGGGTACTGGGGGTACTAGGGAGGAGAGCTAGCCTACTACTCCCAAGTGCTTGGCCTTCCATAGGCAAAAATAAATCCTCGTTTAAATGACTCAGTAAATGTGAGAACAAAAACAAGTGAACATTATTTTTCTCAAGCCCATGGCAAGGTGTTTCTTGGTCTCAGGCTATAAGAACATACTCTGGCTCCCTGAACCTGGGGCGGGTGGGGGGCTGCAAGGAAAGATGAGCCTTACTCCTCGGTGATCTCCTCGGGCAGCACCTCCCCTCGGAAGTGGGCCTTAAAGAGCTCCTGTAGGCAGGAAGCGAGGACAGACAGCTGCTCCGAGTCAAAGTCTTCCTGGGTGATGAGACAAGGAGGGCGCATCACCCCCCCAGACCCGGCCCAACTGCCCCCTCTCCCTACTAGTCTGAGTGCATCTGCTTCCAACCCCCGAGGGCAACCCCCACCCCCGTGGGGGCAGGGCAGCTCTCTAAGCTCGTGGGGTTCTCTCTAAGCTTGTGGGGTTAGGCCACTTCCTCCCGAATGGGGTGGGTCCTCCTCACCTCCAGGACCTGGTCCACGATTTCCTGCATGACCTCACACTGGGCCTCTGTATCGCTGCAGTGCACAAGTGAGAGGAAATCTCAGGGACAGGAATGATAGCAGAGGGCAGGACACACACCCAGAACAGTCGTACTCTCTCGCACGCAGACAAAACAGAGGCGCTCTATGAATCCAGCTGGCCCTGGGAGACTTTAGGACAGAATCTGCCGCTCTCTGGGCAGAAGCCTAGAGACACTCCTGCTCCAGTCCTTAGGCTCCTCACCCAGAACCTAGGGAGAGAGAACCTGGAGTGCTGGGGAGCTGTCGTGCCCTCTCTCCGCCCATAAACCCCAATCTAGACTAGAAGATGTCTCTCATTCAACCTCAACTGCTTCTCTGCATGCACCATTGTGTCCGCTCTGCCAACCGTCTGCACCCCAGGGGGTGAGTCCAGTGCTGGACCGTCCGAGGTGGAGGTGGTGGACAAGGATAACCCTTCAGAACGTGAAGGTGAATCTTTCCGGCTGGGCTGTACCCACCTGCCCTTCTGCAGCTGGAGAACTTTGTCCCTTAAGGACTCGTCGAGCTGGTCAAGGTAAGGGGTGATGTCAACTGGCTCTTCCACCACAGTCTCCTTGATAGGGTGGAAGCGGAACTCTCTCTTCTTTCCTGAAGGCAGACATTTGAGAGAGAAGTCACTCTGCACAGGCAGCAACACCAGACAGAGGCCCCAGCGTGGACCCTCGCCGTGGCAGTGCGTGCTGTTCACTCAGTGCTGGGCGAGCGCTGGGAGCTGCCCCGCGCCGGGACCCGGCCCTCAGAAGCAGGCAGGGCAGAGACCACTTCTCTCCCTCCTGCTCCACTGTCACACGCAGGCTTCTGCACCTCCGAGTTTCACCCCGTAATCCTGTTAACAAAACTGATGGGGCCGAGGGGATCTGCTGCCCACAGAGAGGCTGTTCCTGTCAACTGCAGCTCTTGGGGCTGGCTCCACCCCGAGCCATCTTTGCTGCTTGCCTCACCTTTGCTGTTGAGATCCTCCTCATCATCACTGAAGGCTGCCTCTGCATTGTCATAGCAACTCTCATCCTTGTCTGACATGTGGTTGTCCATCTCCATGGAAACTGGTTCCTCAATTTTGACTTGGGAGTAAAGACAGACAAGGTATTTAATGGCCCCCTGTGTCCTCTACTATACCCCATGCCTCTGGGAAGGGGAGAATGGAGGACCAATGGGAGAAGAGGGACTTCACGATCTAACTAGAACACTGACCCTGGAAGGACAAATGTCTTGTCCTCATAACCCTTCAGAAATTGAAGGTGTGTTTTTCCAGGAATCAGAACAGCATGGGACATTAACTCCTTTGTGTTCATTTCAGGGTAAATGGGCAAACTGGACCTGGAGCAGCTCCCTGGGATTTTTTTTTTTTAAGATTTTTTTATTTATCCATACAGAACTGGGGTACAGGACAGAGATGTTGGGGGCGGGGGTGAGAGGATTTATCAGAGACAGAGTGGGGAGCAAAATAGGCAGAGTGACAAAGGGCTGAGCAGCGGGGGTCAGGAGGGGTCTGCCATGCCATGTGGGTCACCCCTGGCCTGGGATCCAGCTCATGCTGCAGTGGCTATGGTTAGCTTCATAGTATTGTGCTTTAACCTGTTGCACCACCAGGGAGGGCTGCTCCCCGGGCTTTTTAATTTAAGTTGGTAAGTTCTGAGGTAATTTAAGTCCTTACCTCACAACAAAAAAAGTATGTTTGTGCCTAGAATTGGGAGTAAGACCCAATGATGACAACCTCTCATCAGGGCTCTGGGCCTAAGGCTTGGAAGAGAAGAGACTAGCAAACTTCAAGTAAGATAAACACTGTATCCATGAAAGCCTTTTCCTACTGAGGAGAAGCTAGTAAGAGAAAAAATAAGAATTGCGAGAGCAAAAAAGATCAGTAAAAATAAAACAAGATTAGATGGAGAGGGAAGGAAGACGACATAAGACGGTGAGACAGATACTGGAACGGGAGGACGCCGTACCTTCCACAGGTGGGGACGGTGAACTGCAGAACTCAGGAAACTTCTCCCTCAGCATTGCCCGCAGTTCCTTATCCAATTTGGGGTTGTCAAACAGTGGAGCCAGATGCCTGTTGGGGAACATGAAAGAAGGTCAGCATCAAAGCTTCTCCCTTCTAATTCTGCACAGAGTTGGAGATAGCGCTGAGCCAGCCAGGGTGACTGGTCCACACTCGGAGTCTTGGAAAGAATCATAAGGGAATGGGGAGGCCCCTGAAATCCCTTGTAAAAGGATGGCAGGAAAGAAACTCCTTTAAGAGCCATGGGCCAGGCAGTCCAAGGGGAGCCAACACTTTATAGCTCGAGAGGAGAAGGGAAAGCAGCAGAGCACCACACTGGGATGCAAACGCCCACCCCCACTCCGACAAGCAAGTCCTTACGCCAAGACTCGTTTCTCAACAATGTGGTTGAGGGAAGAGAAGACGCCTTGTCGCACGTGGCCCTCCAATGGTGGATAGAAGTTGGGAATGATCTGGAGGGGAAGAATGGGAGTAGACAATGAGCACAGGACTCTCCATCCAGTGTTCAACTGAACTACATGTGAAGAGCTGCTTAGGTTTTATTTAGGGGAGACTGGGGAGTATGACCCCAGAAAGGACTAGGTTGTCCCTGACCATTCCAGGCTGCTGAAATGGGGAACTCTTACTGGGCCTGGCTCAAGGAGACAGATCCAACTGGAGTCATCACCCCTGGGGCCGAGAGAGCCCAAGGCACATGGAAAGATGCAGCTGGAGCTAGCAGGACGATGGAAGGTTCACTACCTTGGGGATGGGCCCCAGGGCCACTTCGTTGTCCGCACTGAGGGGGGCTAGGAGATCAGGGCAGAGGGGATGTACAGTGAGCTGTGCTTGGCCAGGCATGAGAGCAGCAGGCCGTGGTACTCACACGGCACATGAAGTCCAGGAGTGTGGCGGTGATGGCTGGGTGCGGCTTCATGGAGTGGTGCATGACCAGGATGGCTGGTTCTGGAACATGGGAAATCAACCTCCCCCATCAGACCATCTGTTCTCAACCCCACCAAACAGGGTATCAATATATGTGGATGGCTGTGGAATGAGCTGTGTCTATGCCTACCCCGCCCCCCAATTCCCACTGAGCAGACACCCCCATTCCCAGAACAGCTCATAGCTCTTGTCTCCCTCTATGTCCTCTGCATTCAGCTTGGAGGAGGGAGGGAGAAGGAGAGGAAAAGCAGGGCTCGGTGCAGCCTTTCGCTCTGCTAGGCCCTCCCCACCCGAAGCCCAGCAGCACACTGTGGGGTAAAGGGGTGGAGCCACTGCTCGGCCTCATCAAAGCAACTTTCCTTCTAGGTCAAGGGAGCGCTGATGAGGCACAGCGGAACCGCTCCCAGATAAGCGGCTTCCACCCCCGCTGCCCTGAGAGTTATGACTGCTATCACTGGAGACAGGCGGAGGGGTTGGGGGTGGAGAATGGCGCTGCCTGGTCTAGGTCACATACCTATGTTCATAATGCTATCCTTGTCTGGGCTAAAGAACAGCCAGTCGTAAAACAAAGCCAGCTTGGCATTTGAGGCAGCAACATTAGACTGGAAAAGAGAAGGGAAAAGTGGGTTAGTTTTATCAACTGGCTCCCTTCCTTTCAGATGTCCAAGGCAGATACCAGGACCCAAGTGACTGTTTCATCTATGAAATTCAGTTCCTGTAAGACATGGGGGAATCCCCACAGGGCTGAGGAACACTCATATCTTTTGTTGTACCTGAGTATACCCCATGGTCTCACCAGCCAAAGAACGAGGGATGGGCTCGGATTCTCACACACTCAGTGTCAAATGTCCCTGACCCCAAAGCCTAGGCCTGGGATCCTCTGACCAAGCCTGAGCTCACACTCTACCTGGACTAGCCCCAGGGTTGCCCCTGCTACGGAGGCACATTTCTAGAGGACAGACCCCTAAGAATAGCCTGTTGCTACATCTAAAATCAGCACATTCCAAGGGCCAATCAGATGGGGGAGGGAATGCCGTCAGAAATCAGGGGGCGGCTAGATGCCAGAGAATGGAGTCTCCCACCCAGGACACAAGGAGGAAACTGCTGGACAGGAAATAGCTGCAAGTGGATTCATGACATCTGGGGAGAGGAAGTGTCCAAAGCTGATGCTTTCAAAAGGCTTACAAGTGTGGGCCTCAGGAGCACAACTCCTGAATTCGAAAAAGGTACAATTCAGCTTAGTAATGATATGTGGCTTCTGGAAGCCAAAAGAAATTCAGGGATGCCAGGATTGACAGTAAAGACATATATGAACTTGCTTAACTTCAAACTCAGATGGGAAATAATGAGTATAAATAAATTTCTAGACCTAAAGAGTGAGACATTCAGGAAGAAGAGGGTGAAAGGAGTTTTTCAGGAAACCAAGTGCCTAGAAAAATCGAACACAGCGATGTAGCCTCCACCAGCCACAGCCTCTATCCCACGGCCCCACCCCTTACCGTGCATGTTGTCAGGAGCCAGCCAATGATGGCCCATCGGGGCAAGATATCTGAACTCAGCACCTCGTTGGAAGGGTGGACAACCCCACAGATGTAGCGAATGAGGTCACAGCGCAGAGACTGACTGTCTGGGGTTGACAGGTACTGGCGCTGGAACCAATCCTGGTATCGCTTTTGCTGGCCAAACCGCACCTGGGAAGGGCACGTTGAAAAGAGACTTGGAAGGGAGGGTGGGGTCTCTGGGCAGAAGAGAATGAGCACCATTCAACTCCAGCCTTCATCTAGACTTCCATTCATTCATTCATTCATTCATTTACTCTTTCAAGCCTCCTCTCCTTTGGAGGGATTTCCTGATTCAAATCTCCCTGGATTTTAAAAGATGCTGAACAAGGTCTTCCTAGGTTACCTAGAGTACCAGTGTGTATTCATTCTTGCCACAGACCTGATGCCACATTTACCCCTCAACTGCCACTGCAGTTCATTTTGGGCCCTTGCTCATTATTGATGCCTGATTCCCCCAGTCAGAAACATGTTATTTCCTTGAGTCACTGGTGGACAGCATGGAAATTCTTTGAAAACAAAAGCCAAGCTTGTTCACGGTTCAGCAACAACTGAAAGCTTCCTCATGCTGAATAAACAAACAGGACCAGACTCAACAAATGTTCCTTCAGCAAGTCTTCACCCCAAACAGATTAAGTGGTTACAGATATCAAGTAAGGGGAAAGACCTGTTTTTCTTCTCTTTTCCCTCAAATTAAACTGAAATAGCAGTGAGAGCAAACGGGTTAAAAATAAAAACAACAACACATGTATGGAACGTTCTGCAACAATGGTTATATAAGAGCTATAGAGCACTTGAAAATGTTGCCTTTGTACCAGGGGAGGAAATAGTAATAATAATGAACAACTATATGCCAGAGACATTTTATGGGGGTGGAGTGGGGAATCGGATCAAAAATGGGGGTTGGGGAGAGTGCACTGGACCATGGTGATGGCACACAGGCGATTTGGTGATGGGAAGCCCACGGGGACTGCAACTGACATGGAAAAAGGCACAAAGTGATGTAAAAATAAACTGTTATATTAATTTTTTTTAAATGCAGTGAAAATTGTTAATCTTAATAAAGGAAGTTCATGGGAAAAAAAATTGTTGCCTTTGTGACCAAGGCACTGAGTTATAGTTTTACTTGATTAGATGAACACAAGGCTAGTGACGACCACATAGGAAGGGAACACCTGACATTTCTCTGGGATGGCGGGGGGAGGGGGAAGTAGGCTAGCGCAGCAGTTCCCCAATACCAGGCTGGCCGCACAGCTGTTGCCCGGACTGGGTGAAACACACAGAGCCCCCAAGCAGGTTCTCTGGGAGGGATCCGGGAAGACGCATTTTAAACATGTTCCAAAAGCCATTCTGCCACAACCCAGTCATGTTTGGAAACCAAAAGGCCACAGTGGGTTTCCCAGATGAACACCTCACTTGAGCTATCTACCTGCACACGCTCACACTCACACACTCTGTTTTGGGATAAGGGCTTACGCCAAGCAGAACTTCCCAACGTGGCTTTAAAGTAATGAGCTTAGGAGGCTGTCCTTCGCCCAATCTGCTATCCTTTTATGGCACATTTCACACCTGTAAATGACTTTATTTGTACAGTTACTGGCTTCATAACTGTTTCAGAGAGATGGAGAGATGTACCCCCAATTCTTTGCCCTGTGCCTGATGTCAGTGGACGGCCTGACCGCCACACTGCAGGTCAGCACGCAGCGGCAGGGAGAAGCCCCGGTAGTGTCCACGGCAGCTCTTCCTGCCGCAACAGCTTAGCTTACCCGGGATGTCATGAAAAGGAGCTTAGTCTCCATGTCTGGGGTTAGCCGACATGCTAGGAATTTTCGGGAAGTTCTTGATTGAAGAAGTTGCAGGATACCTGAACCAAGTGTGGGAAGGAAAGAGAAAAGAGAGCTGCCTGAGGACCAGAAGAAAGGGAAAGCAGGTGGGGAACCTGGGTCAGACTCTGGTAGCCATGGTCTTGCTCATGGGGAAATTCTAAGACAAGACCAAGAGAAGTCAAGAGTAGGTACAACTGGGGATTCTGACCAGCATCTGTATGTTCTACTCTAACCAACCACCACCCCCAGGACCCAGATACGTGAATTATCTTCTGCTGGCCTTCCAGAGCCCCCTACTCACATCATTCCAGTTGGCAACAAGTAGGAAAGTTAGGGGGATATGGGAAACCCTAGCCTCCCTTCCTGCTCCTGACGTCCCATCACTGGGTCCTGGGATCAGTGTGGTGTGTGGCACAAGGACGAGCTCTGGAGTAAGACAGACCTGGATCCAAATCCTGCCTCTGACACTTACTAGCTGTGTGGCCTTGGGCAAATAACTTAATCTCCTTGAACCTCATTTTCTTTATCTGTAAATATGGAAAGTAAAATATCCATCTTACAGGAGTGTCCTGAGGATTAAATGAGTTATCATACATGTGTCTAGCACATGGTAGGCATGAAAAACAAATCAACACATGTTTGATATGAGGCTGGTACAATGTAAGTACAGCTAGGACTTTCCTGACACCCCATGTTCCAAACTACTGCTTTCACGCTGTGTGTGTGCTCCCAGGCACTCACATGTGTGCTGGAGGGGGCAGGGAGCAACGCTGTACAGCTACTGTTCGGGCCATAAGCAGGACCCTGAGAAGGGGGAAGGGATATGAAGAGAACCTTGTGAAGGGAGGCTCACAGAGACATTTTCCCTTCCTCGAAGAGGATTTTGGCCAAGCAGATCCTTGGAATTCAGAGGCAAGACTGCTCCCAGGGAGGAGCCTTGTCTTAAGGACTAATTCCAGTCCTTCTGCTGACTCAGTCACAGCTGACCTCTGACTCCTCTGCCCAACTAAGTGAAGCTGGAAGCTGGTCATCAGCTTACCTCATGCAGCAAGGAGCTGCCTGGAGGAGGAAAGAAGGGGATCTCAGTTCTCTGTCTTACTCTTCAAGGGAGTAATGAGAAGTGGCGTCTGCCATAGGGGCTGTCTGGGACCCACGTGGGTTGTTCTGTCCTTCTGCCACCCCACACCCAGGTGTACTCGGCAGAGCCTACCCTGTCCCAAGACGCCTGCATCTGACTGCCAAAGCCTCTCCCACCACCCACCTCTGCCTCCTGGTTCAAGCAGTACATATACACTGATGTCCCGCCTCTCGAGAACAAGGTGTCCTAGCCCTTACTTACCTGTGAACTGAGGGCTCAGAGCCTGAGGATTATGGATAATATCTTTCCAAAGTAGTTCAAATTCTGGTATCCTGGCAACATTCTGAAGTAGTCTTACAAGATCCCGGCCAATCATCAAACATTCCATGAACTTGATGGGGCGGGGGAGGGTGACATGGAAAACAATGAAAACATGAACTGTTTACCTGTTACAGGGAGGATAAAGGAATGTGTTGCAGGGAGGGGAGGAAGGAAAGAAGGTCAAAGAGATGATGAACCTTCTTCTGGAAGCAAGGGATTGTCTTCGAGCAGTTTAGGGGAAGAAAGCTGGAAGCCGGGGTCTAATATCAAGCATGAGAGGTTACTGGAAAATGCTAAAGCCCTGATGGCTTTCACATTAATCTCGTCCCTTCTCCTCCCAAAACTGTTTCCATTTGGATCATGGGAAAGTAAGATTCCAAAAAATACGACTGGCAAGTTGAGCCCTAGGCACTTCTCTCCGAAGCTGGACTGGTTACCAGAGCGTTCTGTGGCAATGCAAAAGCACAGCCACGAGCCACAAGTGGTGAATGACCACTTAATTCAACAAAGAAACTGAACGTTTACATTTTGTCTAATTTTAATTAACATTTCCACGAGTGGCTAGTGCATTAGCTCCAGGACCTCTCTTTCAGGAGGTCTAAGAGTGGACAATTCACAATCCCACTTGACCATGGCAAATACTCATGGTCTGTGTGGGTGTGTAAACGCACCCATGCAACACACAGTGGGATAGCTTGTGTCTGCAGTGCACATCAGTGTCCACGAGGCTGACCAGGAAAGACCCCAGGTGCAAGTCTGACGGGCAGCATTTCTAGAAACCAGAGTTAGTCCATACCAATTCCCCTAATCTTCTACCCTCATCTTAGAATGATGAAACACTCCAGACCTTGAAGTACTTCCACCGCTCCAACAAGACATTGCTGGCCCAGGACACTTGACGTGTCCCATCCTGGGTTTCGTGTCCTGATACTGTTTTTGTCCTCACCCGTTCCCGAAGCAGTGAGATGCAGAAGTCCACCTCCTTCTGCCGCAGGGCCTGGAGCTGAGCGGTCCCGTGGTGGTCCACGATGAGGCGGAGGTATGTGTAAACAGCCATGGCAATGAGGATGCTGCTCTTCAATACCCACTCCCTGTTGGGATGGGAGACACTGGCACCTGCACCTGTTTGGGCCTGTTCACCCTCCCAGTGCACCCCACACTCAGTTCCAGGGCTTCAGCAAAGTCTCAAGTAGTACTAGGAATAGGCTCCTCGATGACGGCTCACTCCTGCTGTCGATATTTATCTACACTGGCATATCAATTGTCTCAGTGGGGACAAGTTCTTACCAAGTTCTGGGCACTCCCTGGTGCTACAATGGGCTAAAGCTCAGCACTATGAAGCAGCACTGAGTTTGATCTCCCACCAGGGAGGTGACCAACATGGCGCACGAGCCTCACCAGGCCTCACCTGACCCACCTGCTGCTCCCCTCAGCAGTGTATTTCATTTGATCTGCCTGTTTTGCTCCCCACTCTGTCTCTGGTGAATCCTCTCTCACACACACACACCCTCCCCACCGCACCTCTGGCCTATAAAGGTGTGGGGGGTGAGAGGATTCACCTGAATCAACAGGCAGATTAACAAAGTACACTGCTGAGGGGAGCAGCGGGTAAGACAGGAGAGGTCTGCCATGCCACGTGGATCATCTCCGGGGCAAGGATCGAACTCACACTGATGTGGCCACAGCTTGGCTTAGCTTCTCAGTGCAGCGCTCCAACCTGCTGCGCCACCAGTGAGGGCCCTAAAAAAAAATAAAAAGCTAAGTTCTGAACAAAGGCAATCTCTTTACCACAGAACCACTTGGCTCCCAACAAAATTATTTTATTTGTTGGCTTCACTCCTTTGAACATTTACTAAGGGCCTGTTGTATGCCAAGTTCTGCATAACATTCTAGGGACAAAGTCAAACTGTATCTTCTACCGGTCCAGATTATGAGGGAAAAGTTCTTGTAAGTGTCCCTCAATCAGCAGGTATTAAACTGTGACCTGAAGGCATTGAGAATAACAACGATCCTTGCAGGACCCCAAAGGTTTAGAAGACACTGTCAACTCACCACACCACAAACATTCCCTGGTTCTCTCTAGCCACCAACCCCACTCCCAGACGATGAGTCACCTGCCCTAAATCACAATCTGAAAAGAACATGATTTTAGATAGCAAAGTATTTTCCCAGGAGTTTCAGAATCTCCCTGGGGAAGGGGGTAATAAAAGAATTGTGTGCTCTCTACTGGTATAAAAGGGGGAAGGAAGATAGTGGAGAGAATCCATACGCTTCACTGCCATCTCAAAGTACCCAAACCTGGAAGGCTGTCTCCCTGCCAAGCAAGCAATTTATAGGGGCTTTGGTGTCTCTGCTGGAAGGCAGAGAACCAGAGGAAGAAGACAGGGAATTTAATTAATCCAGCTAGGCAACATACTGATTCCGGAAAAGTGTTCAAGCCACTTAATTAAAAGACTCTGGCCTTTTCCTTCACATAATGAAAGCAGTAGCCAAGGCCACCCCGAGGTTCCTCCTCCCCCACCAGCTACAACGGCATGACACAATCCTAGAGACACTTGGAGGGAGGGGAGGAAGGTGTAAAAAGAAGGTAATTTATATTTCTAGGGACACATGTGCAGGAAAGGATGCCAATTTTTTGGGTAGAAAGAGTGCAGTTCTCATACATGTCCACAGAAACTATTCTTGAACTGCCCAACTGAGAGAAATTCAGGCTTAACGCGTGAGAACAGGAGGCAGCTAGCACCAGGAACAATATGAAAAAAATAATATGTTTAGAACGAATGCTAGCAGAGTGAGAACATATCTGAATCCAGGGATGGGGTAATGAAATGAAAGTTACTAGTGAGAACTTCTGACCTAGGGCACAAGGAAGACGCAGGTCCTACAAGCTGGTAAGAAACTGCTAGAATCTCCTGAGCTGTGGGACTGGAGTAATGGAGAACCCCACCTGCGGCTGCATTGCTACATCCAGGGCACTAGGTGGCACTGCGCGGCAGGCGGGCACACTCTGGGCATCACCAAACACAGCTGTCTCTCACAAAAATGTGAAGAGGGGAGAGTTAGTATTCTAAATTGTAGGAAATATGGGGACTCTCCATGGTGGTACAATGGGTTAAAGCGCAGCACTATGAAATAATTTGCAACCACTGCAGCACAAGTTCGATCCACAACCAGGGAAATGACCCACAAGGCACAGCTGACCTCTCGTGTCTGGTCCACTGCTCCCCTCAGCAGTGTATTTCAGTAGATCCACTTGTTCTGCTCCTCACTCTGTCTCTGGTGAGTCCTCTCACCCCCCATAGCTCTCGCCTATACCCCAGTTTTTGTATGCATTGATAAATAAATCTTTAAAAAAATAAATTGTAGGAAATATGAATATGATTACTGTGGTGTCCTTACCCAGAAACAGCCTCTGAAGTCAAATAACAATAAAATTGAGACCACAGAACAAAAAAGATAGTTAGTCTCACTCCCAAACAAGTTTGAATATAGAAAAGCCCTCATAAAACTTCTGTTCCTTTACTTTTTTTTAAAAATGATTTATTTATTTATGCATACAGAACTGGGGTAACAGGCCAGAGGTGCAGGGGTGGTAAGAGATTTCACCAGAGACAGAGTGGGGAGCAGAACAGGCTAACTGACAAAGTACACTGCTGAGGGGAGCAGCAGGCAGGTCAGGAGAGGTCTGCCGCGCCATGTGGATCACCTCCGTGGATCACCTCCGGGGCAGGCGGCAGGCGGGGATCAACATCATGCTAAAGTGGCTTTAGCTTTTTAGTGCTTCGTTTACCCGCTGCGAGACCAGAGAGGGCCCTCTGTTCCTTTACTTCAATGGGGAAGGCAGAGAAAGAGCCAGAAAGCCCAATGTGCTTCCCTTTATGTCCTCTTTACCACTGCAGTCCCCAAGCTGCAGAATTCTAGCAGAATTCAGTGGTCTTGATGACTTACTCACAGCCCCCCCATACAACTTCAAAAGCAGAGCATGAGTTTGATGAAGAGTCTTGGGAAAAAGGGGTACCTGCCAGGCCTGGGTAGTTGGCTGGACCCATTCTGCTGAGCTCATTCTCCCCTAACTCCCCCCCAAAAATAAACATTCCAAGGAGGTCTGGGTCAAAAATAAACCCTTATCAGATGAAACCAGTTTTTCCTGGGCTCAGAGACATTTTTGCAAAGACCTTCCTTCTCACTCCTTTACTCACTGGGCCTTGCTATGGCCTTAATTCCTTTACTTGCCACAATACACTTGTCTCTCCCTCCCCCGCCTCTCTGACCTGAGGTGCTCTTGGGCCACGCCAGTCTTCACACAGTCCTTCACCCCCACTCCCCACATACACAACCATCACCATCGCATGTGGCTCTTGCCCTGCCCACTGCAGTACTCTACCTCTGCTCCGTCAGGATATCCAGTACACTCTCTGCCAACCAGATATTTTTTGCTGTAACATCCCCACCTGATTTCAAAGGGGGAAAAGACAAAGAATCACAATGGCTCTGATTAGCAACTCAGCTAATCCAATACATTTCTCCAACCATCCTACTGTTCCACCCATTACTAACCTCCCCTCCCCCTTAGGTTCTTTTAGTACTGGGAAAAAAGCTTCTGTTGTTCAGCCTTTGAAGTATCCCCCCTTGTATTGGGAAAGAAGAGAAGGGAAGTTTCTAGATTTTTCCAGTAACCAGAGATGCTACTTTCCCATAAACTGGGGATTAGAGTGGGAATACTTTAACTCTTGAAAGGGACTGTCTGGGAAGGAGGCATGAAAAGTCCATGGTTGGTAAGAAAGGACGGTATCCAGGCAGGGCCTGAGGTTCAGGTGGCTAGCTGTATCAGCCAGGCATCTAGATGCTATCCGAATCCTGTGTCAGGCTGTAGACAGGCCAAGGGACTATTGTTCCCGGGGATCATAGTCCTCACTGCTTGCTATGGAGCTTCCTGGGCCTAAATTAACATGCAATAATGCCAGACCAATGTCTCAGGATGAGAAGTGTGGGCTAGGGTTACCAAACAGGGAAGAAAGTGCCAGGAGAGTGCATAAAAATACCCAGCATCACACTATGCCTTGCCCCAGGTCCCAATTTAAACATTAAATGTTCACCAACTATATACCAAAGACATTATATGGAGGTGGAATGGGGAATGGGATCAAAAACAGTGGGGGGGAGGGAAGTGCACTGGACTATGCTGTTGGCACATGGGTGATCTGGTGATGGGAAGCCCATGGGGATTACAACTGAGATGGAAAAAGGCACAAAATGATGTCAAAATAAACAATGATATTACTTAAAAAAAATTAAATGTTCACATAGTCTCACACCACATAGATTATGATTTATACACATCAGAACAGAGGCATCAGTGTTATATAAAATCCTGAGGAAGAAGCAAAGACCCAACGGTCAATGGCGAGATAACAAGGCAGGGTCATTTTTAAACACACACATGTAGTCCTGGGAGCAGAAGAGGTAACACAAGCAGCCTCTGGGATATTCAGTGGCTTGGAGAGATGTTACTGATGCCAAGGAGATAATAAAATGTAAATGTCAGGGTCTGCTCTGTGACATAGTTTGTCCCTCAAACTGGCTCCAATGAGATGTCATAATTATTAGGGAGCAAGTGTTTAGAACACAGGAGTGGAGCCAGGGCCGATGTCTGGATTTCTGAAAGCACAATGTGATAGGAACAAATTATTTGCCTGCCCTTCTTTCCCCATCCTTCCCAGATCCTTCCTGATCCAATATGCTATAAAACCTCAGAGTGAGGACTGGCTAAAATAGGCCAACTGTTCTGTCAGGCCTGGAGTTTGCAGGAAGGAAAATGAGGCAAGATTTATTGCTTGAAAAGGCCTCCTGTGATTTTTCAGTTTCTTTCTGCAACATACGTGACCAAAAGCAAGCATTTAAACAACTCGGGAATGAAGTCCTTCAGAACACAAGCATTCTCCATTGCCGGGATTTAGTCCCTGGATACCTGTCTGTTATTTTTTTGCTTTTGCCAAACTCACCTGCAATCTGCTTCATGAATGTCATGCAAACACCATCGGCTCCTAGAACACCACTCTTCACTAGTTCCCGTACCAACCACACCAGCTAAAAGAGAAAAAACAAATGAGGAGATGAGCCTTTGAATTTGAGAAGGGCTAATTCAGTCAATATTATAATTCAGGTAAACAATGAGAGGGCTGTTACCCCACATTCCACCTTCCCTTCCCTTTGAGAGGATCCAGTCTGTTGTGCCTTCGGACTGGATCTCTCTTTTCTTTCAGGTCTTACCTGAGTACGGCAGGTATCCTGCAACTTCAGGTACTTCTCCATGAGTATCTGGTTGATTTTATTCAGGACAATATTCATGCCGTCACGACTCACCAGAGCCAAGTCCCGGTAACACTGTGAGAAGTGAGGTTCGTGAACAGCCAGCAAGCTGAGGATAGGCTCCTGACCCCACCCACAGGGGACCCCTACCCCCCCCCCTCTTCAGCTTCAACAACACTGATGGGATACTGAGTGACCATGAAAGCCTTTTCACTCCTGACAATCCTCCCACAGCACCCTTTCATCCCATACCCATCCCTGTCACACAGGGTGGAGAAAAGAACTGAGTTTCTCTAATAAGGCAGAAAAGCCTGATAAGAAAGGCTCCCTCCTAGTCCTATCTCTGTCCCCCTTCCTCCCTCCTTAGAACGTGTCATGCTGTTTGAAGTCCTAAGCTGAGCAAAACCAGGTGGAGGCCATCTGTTTTTCATCTGCCAGGAAAAGGTAACTAGAACAGGTTTGGCAGAACATGCCAGAAAGGGTCCCAAAGAGGATTTCAGACCTGTGTCGACCCATCCAGTTGAAGCAAAGGCATATTAAGGAAAGAGGAACTGGGGTGACGGCCCCTGAAAAAAGGGGCAGAACGAAACAATTTCCTTTACCAAATATTTTTTCTCTTTTCTCTGGGTTGCCCTTTGCTGCTGTCAAATATTAGGGGGAGAAAAGGGTCCTTAGGTTAAACCAACCATGGGGAAGTGAGGGAAAGCATGCTCATCTCCTCGGAGAGGTTTGCTGCTTCCATCCCCCTAGAGCGTTTCTCACCCCATCTCTCTCAAGACCAGCCACCTGGAGGAATACCTTAGGGGACCTCATTAGTGATCTCCTTAGCCTGCTGAGTTCTATATGGTCAGGGTCTCAGCACAAAGGGCAAAAAAACAGTAGTAGTGTGGTACAAATCCGAAGGGTGGCAGACATGATAACAGCTAACACGCACTGTCATTGTGCACAGACTTCGTACTACGTCCACCGATGCCCTCCACTCAAACAACAGCCTTTTGGAATAGTTACTCTTATTACACCTCTGATTTTACAGATGAGGAAACAGGCATGGAGAGGTTCAAGTGATTCCCTCCAGGTCACCCATGAGATAAAAGGGAGAATGAGGCGTGGCAGGCCTCTCCTGACCCGCCCGCTGCTCCCCTCAGCAGTGTACTTCGTCGATCTGCCTGTTCTGCTCCCCACTCTGTCTCTGGTGAATCCTCTCACCCTCCGCAGCTCTGGCCTGTACCCCAGTTCTGTACAAATAAATAAATAAATCTTTAAAAAAAAAACAAAGGGGGGCCCTCCCTGGTGGCGCAGCGGGTTAAAGCACTGCACTGAGAAGCTAAAGCCACTTCTGCATGAGTTCGATTCCCGCCTGCCCCGGAGGTGACCACATGGCATGGCGGACCTCTCCTGGCCCGCCCGCTGCTCCCCTCAGCAGTGTACTTCGTCGATCTGCCTGTTCTGCTCCCCACTCTGTCTCTGGTGAATCCTCTCACCCTCCGCAGCTCTGGCCTGTACCCCAGTTCTGTACAAATAAATAAATAAATAAATAAATAAATAAAAAAGGGGGAGAATGAGGCCTCAAAACCAGGCAGACCAATTCTAGATGTCAGGCTTTTTTCATCAACCCTTTAGACCAACTTTAGGGATAATGAAAAGTGAGTGCTGGGGGTTGGAGGTAAGAGCTTATGGTGGTGGGGCTTTGCTGGTGTTCATGGTGTGGAATGTACATTTGCAGAGGTATAAACCTATGTATCTACAGTATTGTAAACCAATGTCCCCTCAATAAGCACAATGAAAAAAAATGTTTATAGTAATTTTGACATTACTACATTCATTCTTAAACACTGATGCTAAGTGTGCAAAAAAAGACTCCTCAAAATCAGCTGTCCCCTGGTCTGACTTGGGACTCCTCAGAAATTAATTCCTCTTGCTTCTCTTGCTGCGATTGTCCTGAAGTCAAACCAAGTGAGCAGACGAAAAAGTCAACAATCAGACATTTCCATGTGCCACAAACTTTCGTACCCAAAGGAGAATTTCATTATCCTGACTGCATCTCAGGGGCAGGGATGGGTCATTGGACAAACAAAAGTACAATCAAGGGCCCTCCCTGGTGGCGCAGCGGGTTAAAGCACTGCACTGAGAAACTAAAGCCACTTCCGCATGAGTTCGATCCCCGCCTGCCCCGGAGGTGACCACATGGCGTGGCAGACCTCTCCTGACCCGCCCGCTGCTCCCCTCAGCAGTGTACTTCGTCGATCTGCCTGTTCTGCTTCCCACTCTGTCTCTGGTGAATCTTCTCACCCTCCGCATCTCTGGCCTGTACCCCAGTTCTGTATGAATAAATAAATAAATCTTTCAAAAAAAAATTAAAAAAAAAAAAGTACAATCAAGAGTTAGGGAACCCCATGAACAATGTGCTGGTCAGTATATGGTGGTAGTTGAGCCCTGGAGCCTCCTTGGAGGTGTGAGTCACAGAGATTGAGGGAAGCAGAGGCAGAAGGAAAATCTACATCAGCCCAAGTACAGAGATCCTGCTAACCAGAGAGGAGTCTATTGTTTCAAACAGCAGCAGACATCCCAGAAATGCCAAATCTACCCAGGACAGGAAAGGAGGATAAGTGTCTTGGGAGACAAAGCTCAGATGAAGAAAACAGATTCTGTCTGCCTGATTCCATGCTCCATCTGGGCCCATATCAGCCACAACTGCTGATAACACATGGCAGCTGGTACCAGAGTATCATATTCCTGATGCTGCCAGTTATCACACGAGCCTATGTGTCAGCGTTCCCACTGGTTCGGAAGTAGATGAAGGAAATAAACCCAAAACCTTAGTGGGGAGCAGAGAAGAGAAGCAAAGAGTCCAAAAGAAAGCAAAGACAACAGGATGGCGCTGAGGGGGCACATCTGTCCTGATTGTGGGGAGTCCAGTTTGGGCCTTCCTGGCCCCCACCTTTGTTTCTGAAACTGTCTGCTGAGAGAAATATCCAGAACTACAGCTGCCAGTCTGGCTTGTTGGCTCTTGATGAAGAGAAACCTTGGTGTTGATGTTAGACCCTTTACTATTGCCTTTATCTACCTGGAGCCTGTGCAGAGGCTAAGGCAAGTGGGCTGCTAGCAACTATTCAATTCAGACATCAAATAGGAAAAAAATAAACTCAAAAGAAATATAAACTAACAAGAATAAAAACTAACAAAAATACAGGCTAACAAGAGGGCAGATGCAAATCAAGAAGGCACAACTGGAGCAAAATCCACCGTGTGTGTATTCTACTCTCCACCAGCACCTCACCTGCCTCCCCTTAATTGAGTTCTCTTGTTTGCCTCATTCCCCTCATCAGGTCCAAAGGGCTCACCCAGCTCTAACCCTGCCTAGCATCACTGAGAGAGAAACCTCAGCTCATGCTTGCCTACTGCTGGCTTCGTGTATGTTTGGAACTCAGTTTCTACTCCCACTGACCCCACTTCCCATCTCTAGGCCTGTGAAGATGTATCTCCCCACATCCCAAGGTTTCTGCTCCAAAGATAGAATGAACCCCAATGAAACTCAGAGAATGTTCCCCGTGCTTGAAACTGAAGCTAAAACACATTAGGATCAGGATTAGTAACTCCCCACCTAAAACTTCTGCAGGCAAAAAGAATTTCACAAGATAATTATTCTTTTAGGGAGAAGAGTCACATCACCATGACTTACACACACTGACCTTCCACGACACACTGACCTGGCCCAAGGTCTCTAAGTTAAATCACAACTTGATAGTTCCTCACTGGTCTAACATGGTGCCCTCCTAAGTCTCCAACTCTACCCCCTTCATCTGAAGAACCCTGACCTGGGGAATTTACTTGGAAACTTACAGTCTATGAACATATTTGTGGCACAACTTCAATGAGCTATGAGACCCAAGGGGAGGGCTCGATCCCCTCCTCCCCATCATAGGGCTGTCACCGGCAAAGAGGAGACAAGGCACTCTAGTACCTGCCACAAACCATGACATGAGAAGCATTTATAATGCAGCGCACTGTGGCCTCCGAATGGCAGGCCAGGCAAAAAGCTAGAAATACCACACACACCCTGCCCCCTTCCCTGAGGTTTACTGATTTACCCTGCGTGATTCCTAGCCCACCTAAAACAAACAATTATAAGACTGTAGGCATGACACATCTGCACTGAGGTAACTAAATGGGACTGTTTCATCACCATCTTTGCTAACAATTTCTTTAAAGTTTGAGAGACTAGACTGGATCATATCACTGTTTGACACCATCAAACTAGAGACATTAATTTGCTTTTAAGGACCTTGATGTAGGGGTAGGTCTGGTGGCACAAGGGGTTAAGTCTCAGCACTATGAAGCTATCAGCACTCACTGCAGCATGAGTTTGATCCCGGAGTGAGGAGGCAGGGAGGGCGCAGGGGTGACCCACATGACGCAGCAGACCTTTCCTCTCTTGCCTGCTGCTCCCCTCAGCAGTATACTTCAGTACATCTGCCTGTTCTGCTCCCCACTCTGCCTCTGGTGAACCCTCACCCCTGCATTTCTGGCCTGTACCCCAGTTTTTATATGCATTAATAAATAAATCTTTAAAAAAATAAAAAAGACCTTAATGTAAAATCAGTGTGACAATGAAATGGCAATTTAACTCAACAAGGTCCCAGTCTAGAAATGACCTGGAAAACAAAGGAATCCGGACTACTTGCTGCCTACTCACCCCCAACCCTACTTGGCTGGTTTCAGAGCAGCACAAATACATTGGATTGCTATGCCCATAAATCCTTGAGATCAACCCAAGCAGTTATACTAAGGGATTATGGGCAGTCTGTCCTAGTCCTAGTCCCTGGGAATCATTTTCCTTTGGATATCCTTGAACAAACAAAAACATCACTGACCTCCAGTTATCTTACAGGTCATCTGGGAGTGATTTGGTGGGGTGAGAACATAGTCACTTTTTTCAGAGGATTAAATGAGATTCCTCTGTCTGGATAGAGTTTAAAACAATGCTGGGCATAGAACATGTTTGCTTTCTTCCATACTTCCTGTCTTTAGGGAATAGTCAATGAGAATACTGTTCTCTGTTACTATCACACAGTTATGCCAGATATAAGACATAAACGTCTAAGCCATCATGCCAATGCTTAAAGGACAAAGAACTGTCAGTAAGGGGGAAATCTGGAGTAGTAAAAGGCAAAATCTTGCTCCTTTATATACATTGGAACAGAATCCACAGAGCTCATCTTGCCTAGTCCTTCACCTGGAGGAAGAAACCCATTTAACCATTCCACACACAGGAGACTTTTCTGTGAAGGAGCCATTTCTAGTTTTCAGAAGGAATTCCTCATGAAGTGACTCCAGCACTCCAGTATTCTCAATCATGATGATATTTTACATCAATCACCTAACATTAATTTGTCTAGTTTAAGCCCCACTCTAATTTCAATTCGCCTTCAGTAATAGCACCTGCAAACTCCAGGTCTTACTCTTCTAGATAAGAACTCTCAAGCACTCAGTTATAGCTGAGTGCTTCTCTTTCCTAAATTAAATCCCTAATCTTTTAGCCTTCACTTGTAAATATAAAATTTTAAATTCTTTTAATACATTTCACTCTTATATCTGAACTGCCTTGTCTTGTCAGCTGGCTTCACAATCTATAAAGACAGATAAAGAATTTTACCAGAGAATGACCAATCCCCTGAGAGTAAAAAGGGAGCTGTCACTGTATTTGTGGAACAAGGTGATCCAGCACTGGTCACAGTCTGATACTATCCTAGTTAAATCTCAGTTCCATCATAATACAGGGTTTGTGGGTCCAGGGCAGGGTGTCTTACCTTCTGGGCTTGGGCGGGGTCAGTAAGGACAAGGGTGAAGAGACCGAGGCAGATTTCCTCATGCTGAGGGGGACCTTTGCATACCTATTATATGAGGAAGGAAAAAATTAGTCACTCATAGGAGGAAAGTGCTTGAGTACAGCTTCTCCGAGAAAACCCTGGACTCCTGGATCTTAAATCTGTTGATTTCCTTCACCTGCAAGTGATGGGTCATCTGTTTTCAGAGAAAGATGGAGGGAAAGAATAGACTTCTATTACTACATTCTCAACCACTGGATGCAGGCCAGGTCAAAAAATAAATATGCTAAAAATGGGGGGGGTGCGGGGATCCTTCTCTATTATCGTCATCAGACCTTAGTAACTTTCAGCCAAGAGGGAGCTGCAACTAGTCAGCCATGGAGTAACAAGCGAAAAGCTTGAGTAAATCATTGACTCGCTGATATCTATAAGGTGAAGACCTAACATTCAAATACTAAATAGTCAATACTAACTGAACATTCACTGAGCAACATGCATCAGGAAAGGTAAGTCCTTTACCTGTCCTCTTTAAATCCTTTCAACCTCACAAATTGATTAGGAAATGGGAAAGATCAAATATGTGAGAAGAATTTGTAAGTCACTATGAGCTGTTCATAAAAGTGTTTAGGGTCCTCCCTTGTGGTGCAAGGGATTAAGTCTCAGCACTATGAAGCTGTCTCAGCCGCTGCAGCACGAGTCCCATCCCCAGCCAGGTTGCCGACCCACACCGCACAGCAGACCTCCTGTCCCACCAGCTGCCTTTTTTGCTCCCCACTCTGTCTCTGGTGAATCTTCTCATCCCCTGCACCTCTGGCCTGTACCCCATTTATTTATGTATGCATAAATAAATAAATCTTTAAAAAGTAAAATAAAATAAAAAAACATTCTAAGAGATAGACTTCCACAGTAAAAGAAGAACTGGGAAGCCCGGCTTAGGGCAAAATGACATTAACTTCTGTCCCCTAATTCCTGGCCATTTAAGCATTTTATATTTTCGATGATCTCTCAGAGCTTTCAAAGAAGCAGAAGTGGATGTGGGAAAGCATTATACTCACATAGGCATTTAGGGCGTCATTGGCCTCCCTCTCCGAGACCCCAGAAGTCATGGATGTTACAATGCTCATGCATCTTTCCAATCTCTGTAAAGGGGCAAGAAAAAAATCAGAGTGTGGCATACTACCACCTATGAAGTACTCCTGGCCCTCCCAAATTTTTTTTATAGGTATAAAACTCACCACATCTCTAAAACTAATTATCAGTTTACAAAATCACAGTGGGAATACAGTTAGTGACATCTAGCATACAGCGCCTCCCAGGTGGCACAGAGGTGAACTCTCAGTGACATCACCCTAAGTTTGATCCCCAGCCAGGAGCATGGTGCAACACACCTCTCCTGTCTCACCCCTTGCTACCCTCAATAGTATATTTCAATAGAGCTGCCCGTCCTGCTCCCCACTCTGTCTCTGGTTAATCCTCTCACTCTTGCACCTCTGGCCTGTACCCCAGTAGTTCTTCTAGGTGTAAATAAATAAATCTTAAAAAAAAAAAAAAAAACTATGAGAAGTGATCTGTTTTCTTCAACACATAAATTCATAAGGGAAAAAAAATGAAAAAGTAGGGAGAGATTTCAGATTATAACTCACTGAATAAAATAAGAACCCCTGAGTTTGGGCCTCCCTGGTAGCACTAGGAGTGAAGTCTCAGCACTACGAAGCTAGCTGCAGCCACTGCAGCATGAACTTGATCCCCAGCCAGGAGCTGACCCACAGGTTGCAGCAGACTCTCCTGTTTATTTATAAAATTGTTTAGGGGCCTCCCCTGTGGCGCAAGGGATTAAGTCTCAGCACCATGAAGCTATCTCCAGCCACTGAAGCACAAGTTCGATCCCCAGCCAAGCTGGTGACCCACAAGGCACAGCAGACCTCCTATTCCACCTGCTACTCCCCTCAGCAGTGTGTTGCAGTCAGTCTGCCTGTTCTGCTCCCACTCCTCTCACCGTTGCCCCCCACCCCCACCCCTCTGGCCTGCATTGTAGTTCTTGTATGCATAAATAAATACATATTTTTAAAAATCCATGAATTCATGCCCATAGATAGGCAAATAATAAGTAAAGGAGTAAGCTCTTCCTTATAATGAATGCAGAATGAATAACAGAATTGATGCAAGCAATTATCAACAGATGCTAAAATCACAGATGAAGCTTTCAAAGGAAAGAGGGTATTTATATAGATCAAAATACTAATTAACAACAACAACAAAACACATTGATGGTAGGAAACTCTGGAGTATACCACCTTAACCAAGTGATCAAAGTTAATATCCCTGGTAGTGAGAAACTGACCACTAACACTATGTGTCTATGCTATACTACACTGAAAAGGCTGCATCACTTTGAGGTTTTTACCAAAATTAATAATCTAAGTCTAATCATAAAGAAGTTTCAGATAATCCAAACTGAGTGATAATCTACAAAATAACTGGCCTATCAAAAGTGTTTAAGGTCAGGAAAGACAATGATAGACTAAGAATGTCTTTCAATTGAAGAATCAGAGACAGTATAGCTACAGACGATATGTGATCCTGGGCTGCTCTAATGGACATTACTGGGACCACTGGCACAATCTGAATCTGTACTACACACTGGACAGCAGTTATATGATGGTAAGTGCCCTAAGCTTGAGAACAGGACAGTGGTTATGTAGTAACAGAAGATGCTTATTCTTAAAATATATACTGAAGTATTTAAATTTGTATTTCAGTGGTATCATGATTACAACTTATTCTTACAAGGTTACAATAAGATACGTAGTGATAATGATAATATGTTAGTAACTGGAGAATTTGGCTGAAGAATACATGAATATTGCATGTATTATAATTTTTCTGTTATTTTAAAATTTCTGATAATTTAAAATTATCAAGAGAAATTGGACACTTAATATTTTAGGAAATTGCTGTTAGTATTTTAAGGTATGGTATGCCCTCTCATAGACATGCATATGAAGTACCTACAAATGAAATGGCATTTTTTGAATTTGCTTCAAAATAATCCAGTCTGGAGAGAGAGAAAACATTATTGACAAGCACTATAAATACTGAGACAGAGTAATAGCTGCCTGGGAGTTATACTATCCTCTCTTCTTTGTTGTTGAAATTGTCTTCTAAAAATTTAAAAGCAAACTTTGAAAAAATGAGAGTGAAAGGAACAAACTAATGGGGAACAAAAGGCCAAACCCAACTGTCAGGGTCTCTAATAAAGGTGGGGAAGCAGTTCCATGCCCTATCCAAAGCCACTCGAGTTTCAAAGGCCAGTTCAACACTGCAAGGTGACCTTGCTCACTGGCTCCTGTTCTGAAGCACTTAATACTAAATATTCAGAAAGCACTGATAAAGTGTATCTCACATTAAGTCAGTGTGCCTCCATGACTACCACCCAAATTCCTTTCTGAATCTTTTGAAATTTCTCTTGAGGATTAACAAAAAACCTCTTTTAGGAACACTACTCCTCAATTCTCAGGGATGATGAAGCTGGTAAACAGGGACAAAGGCAGGCAATTTACTTCCCACTGATTATAGACACCATCACAAAAAATCCTACAGATCTACTCCTGCAGCAATTATGAGGAACTGACAAATAATGCCTAAGGATGGTGGGAAAGAGGCCTAGGAGTGAAAGATTAGTGTGTCTCCTCTGGCCCTCACCTGAGGCTGCCTTCATCCATCCTTGTCTAAAAGCAAAATGTAGAACTGCTTTAATGCAAGGAGCTCCCATATAGCCACAAAATCTCATCCTAATAGGCCCAAACCACTTGCTTGAAGGTATTACAACTTTGCCAACCAACATACGGTCAGACTACCCCCCCAAATCAGGTCAGATCAGCCCACTCAGCCTTAATTAACAGCACCCTGGTACTTGTGAAACGGACCTGTGAGATCACATGACACCTGAGCTGTGACTCTCATAACCCACTTCTCCCACAAGCTCTTGGATCCTTCGTGCACCCAGCCCAGCTCCCATGAGACAGAGGAAGGACGGAAAACCTATGTTGGATTCACTCTTTATAAATGCATCCTTCTCCACCTGAAATAGTTATCAATGACTGGATGGATGATCAGTTCCTCCAGCAGCTCCAGACTGCTCTGGGAGCTCTGAGGGTACCTGTTTACCCCAGTCTAAGTGACCAAGCAGAGTCAGTGGAGGGAGATGGCAAACAAGCAGTAACACGGCTTCCTAAAATTCTGTATATTGTTTCCTATTTGAAGGAAGTAGCTTTGCTGAATCAACAGAGTTGCAAGAGAAGTCAGTTACCTAATGAGCAACTGACAAGTACAGGAGAGAAGGAACCCACCATCTCAGCTTAATCTTGGGCAAGTTACCTGGGCTCTCTAAACCTGGGTTTTCTTTTGTGAAAAGTAGAGACAAAGTCTAAATCACAAGATTGCTGTGAGGATTAAACCAGGTAACATGTGAAAGTACCATGTATACAGCCTGGCATTACAATAGTTGAATTAGAATCTATCCCATTTGCGAGGAAGTTCAGTAATTACACAACCAAATCTATGAGGATGAGATCCCTAGCCTCAACAGACCCACCGTCCCACTACAGGACAAGGAAAAGTCCTAGACCAGCTGAAAAGCTTCCTCTACTGCTTACCCTCTGTCAACTTTTGCATTCTTGAAGAGGAGGGGTGGGGAAAGGTCTAACTAATGGACCTGCACCAAGATCTTATGAAGGTCCTACGGACTCACACTGGGTAAGCTGGCTGGAGTCTCTGCTGTGATGCAACACACCCTCGACTACACTGGGTTCTCCAGGTCCCTTCTTCATATTCTAAGCCCCACTCAGAGGCCTGAGTCTATTCTGTGGGTAACTATCCAGTCAAAAAGAAAAGTAGCCTCTTGGAATAAAGAGGCCCAGCTAAGGATGTTAAAAAAAAAAAAAAGGGGGGGGGAAAGAGTCCAGAATTTGGGTATGTTAATAAAAGTGATAAGAAAGGTGACAGTCATGCCTGTCATAAATATAAAAGATGCTGCTCTTTCTGAACTATAGAAATTAGTTTTCCAGGGCCCTCCCTGATGGTGCAGCAGGTTAAAGCACAGCACTAAGAAGCTAAAGCCACTTCAGCATGAGTTTGATCCCCACCCCAGAGTGACCCACATGTCGTGGCAGACCTCTCCTGACCCGCCCGCTGCTTCCCTCAGCAGTGTACTTCGTCCACCTGCCTGTTCTGCTCCCCACTCTGTCTCTGGTGAATCTTCTCACTGCCCCTGCACCTCTTGCCTATACCCCAGCTCTGTATGCATAAATAAATAAATCTTTAAAAAAGAAAGAAATTAGTTTTCCAAACAGGGAAACTCAGAACGACAGGACTACTTCCCCTCAGAAGTCCACTGGAGGTGAGCTCCCTATAATCACGTAGCAGTACCCCTTCTCCTAGACTCCAGAAGCCCTTAGCAAACACTGCAGTTGTCAACAATTGCTGGCAGGATGGTTGTGTTCTGAGTAAGCCCTCCATAAGAGCACTTCAGAGAGGTGAACAAATATTTACCATCTCTGGGAGCTCCTAAATTCATTTTCCTAATACTAAGCCTACCTGAGCACGGTTTCTATGACAGCAGCAACAATGCAGGAGTGCGTGGATGTGGGGGGCTTTTCCAGTTGGGCAGTGTATATACATGAAACTCAAGACTAAAGTCAGAAGGATTCTTCTAACTCTAGGAAAACAGAGTGGGGGAGATCCAAGCTAAAAAGTATCTAGCACAGGGCCCTCCCTACAAGGGGTTATGAGGGCACAACAGGTTAAAGCACAGCACTATGAAGCTATCAAAAGGCTGCAGCATGAGTTTGGTCCAGCCAGGTTGCTGAACCACATGGTGCAGCACACCTCTCCTGTCCCACCCGCTGCTCCCCTCAGCAGTGTATTTGCCCATGGCTCAACCTTGGCAGTGTATTTCTATCGATCTGTTTGTTCTGCTCCCCACTCTGTCTCTGGTGAATGCTCTCATGTCCCAAACCTCTGGCCTACACCCCAGTTCTTGTATGCATAAATGAATAAAAATAAATCTTTCAAAAAAATCACTTGTTTATAAAATGAGGATTTAAGGGGGAGGGAGAATGAGAGATGGTTTTGTTCCATTCTCTGGAGATTCCTCACAGACAGGATGTGAATTATCTCTGAGAGAAAACCTGAAAGGAATGTACCTTTAACCAAATACAAGACCTGTGCATAGCTTAAGAGGAAGCTCTGACATTTGGGTCAAAGGCTCTAGCTTTCAGTCTAACTTCAAAGTGGGCTAGGTCCTGCTCAGCAGGGGATGACCAGGAGCTGTGAGACTAGGATCTGCATGTTTTAAAAGCCTCCCAGCTGGTACTATTTTTATCTCATTCCCCAAAAGGGGACCAGGATGGGCAAGAAGAATTCCCTCTTCAAAGAGAGGAACAGGGCCAAGGAGAGCAAATGCTGAGTCACAGTCCCTGCTGGGGATGCTCTTCACTGGGGTTTCTAAAGAACCTTTCCTCAGCAGGCACAGCTGTAATGACCCCAGTCTCTTCACTACCCTAAGCAGTTTTTTTGTTTGTTTCTGAATCTTCCTTATGGATGTATTAACTCAGTCTTTAGATGATAAGCTCTGGAAAGCAGACCTTGGATTCCCCCCTCCATCTATTTTCCTATCAGACTCAGCACACAGTTAAAAGTTTATATGGTCAGGAAGCTATCTCTATGTTCTTGGGCAACAGGTAAGGCTGTGTTGGAAAATAACCAAGAAAAAGCAGAGATCAGTTAGTCAACATGAGGCTTCTATAACTTTTATGTGCAAAGATGTGGAGGGAGACCCACACAGTAAAGCAGCCATTAAGTCTGGCCCTTAGACACACTCCGGGTCTAGTGCAGATAACAAAAGCACACACATGGGGTTAAAACAGAATGACAAGGCTTGTTGGAAAATTAAATGCAGAGGACAAAGGGCAGAGAGGAAAGGGGAGAGCCAGAGACATGCTGGGAAACATCCATACCAAGAAGGATGTCAGGGAAAAATAAGACCCTCCCTCCCCCTTCTCCCTGGAAACAGTCGAAAGTTCACTCTCAGACATTCAAAAAAAAGCAAGAAAATAAATGCTTCCTCTTTTGTGGTCCCCTCCTGCCATATCATTTCGTATCATTTCGTTGACTGGCAAGAATGTCACTTGCTCAGAGGAACAGGATGCTGTGCTACTCTGTGGTACAAATAAGAACAGAGGCAGGATGACCCCATCAGGCAATCAGGGCGGGAAATAAACATTTTTGGCATCCAACCGTTGGGGTCTTTTGCCCTCCACCCAAATAGGTGGAAGCATCTATGGCAGTCAACTACCTTCTACAGCTCTAGAGCTTCGGTGTCAGAATTCAGAAGGTGGCAAAGGTTTTGACAACTGTGGCCATTTCTAAAAAATTGGATAATTCAAATTGCGAGGTAATCCTACAGTCATTTTGGTTTGGGGAGTTATTCATAGGAACATTGTTTTTGTTCCTAATTATATCTAGCTTAATTGATAAAAACAGGGGCAGAAAATATCTTTATCTAAACGCACATAGAACTATGGGGAGAGAAGCATGAAGCCAATCTGTGAGTGGACATCTGACCAAAAAAATACATCATCAAGTTGCTATCCAGACACCTCTTGATTCACAAAGTTCATTTTTGCATGTGTTCTGCCATGTTTTGTCTGATTGAACTTTTTTCCCCCAAATTTCTCATATGACTATCACCTATTTGCCTGCCCACTCTATAGCATCTAGTATTAAGTTAGAAGCAGAGAAATGGACAATGAAGAGCCAGAAACCTGTTCATTTACTTATCATGGCCCTGGATAACCACCATGTTGAATGTATTAGATCTTGCAAACAGTTCATCAGTCACGTCCCAGTTCTGGGTCTCCTGTGCCTCAAGCATGGCAGTGGAAAGGATACATGCCCAGCTCTGGGTTGTCAGCAACAGGGTAAGAGGAACAAGTGGGGGCAGAGAGCCAGCTGTCCAGTGTCTGAAGTGTCCATTCAGGTCCATGGCATGGCCTCACTCACTTCACTCTCTGTGTGTTCGCTCTCGTGTGTATGCTTTCTGGTTCCAAAGGCGAACCCCTGGGCCTCATTCACCGACCCCCCCCAGGGACACTGCTGATGCTAACTATACATTTAAGTCCTCAAGCCTTCAGTCATTTTTCTTTAAGTCTATTCCTGAGTCTTCACTCAGTCTAAACATCCAATTAGCATCAAGGATGGCTGAGCCCACAAAAAGGCAACACTACTTAACAGGAGGGTCTAAGATTTGCGGCAAGTTCCCATGAATTGAATTCCCTAGACACTTAGACGCACATACATTACTTCTCAACTCAATATATGACCTGAGGTTGAAAAGGTAAATATTCCCACGGCCTGCACGTGGGAAGTCAGAAATAAATTCGTCAGACCTGGATGCTGAAACCTTTCTTAACACCCCCCACCCATTTTCACTCTAGACTGCAGTTGCTATGACAACCTGTCCAGGAAGTTGTCCACACTTCTTCCTTCAGTAGCAGGAAGTCTGGAGCAGTGTTTGTGGGCCTTAGAAAAAACTTGAAGGCCTCCTTCCCCGCCCCCACCCGTATCCGTTCCAGTAGCCCTCCTCAACCCAGTTTCTTAACTCCCTTCCCCACCCCCCACACCTACCTCCTCTAACTCATCCTTGGCATCCAAACTGGTTGAAAGTAGCAGCCTCCCCCCTCCTGGGGCTCCTGCTCCCGCTCCTCCTCCACCTCCCGCTGCTCCCGAAGCAGCTGCTGCTGCTGCCCCCTTTCCCTTCTGTAACTCCATAGCTGCAGCCAGGAGACGGGAAAAGGCCGGGGAGAGGATGGGTGGGAAGCCTTAGAAACGGGGCGCTCTGGGTTGCCACGGATGGGGGCAAGCGGGGCAGGAGGGGCAGGGGAGGGAAAAGGTTCCAGTCCTCTCCTCCACCTTCTGGGAGAGGCCGCTCCTGTGCAGGAAGCGAAGGCGGAGGGCCCTGAGATCCTGCCCCTGCAGTGGCAGTGCTGAGAAAAAGCCGTTAGCTCCTAAGTCTGCTGGGGTGAGGGTCTGTGCCCCTAGGGCACAGGCAGAAGACGCTTCCGCCCCAGAGGAAGTGGAAGGGGCGCCCCTTCTGCTTCTGACCCCAAGAGAAGCAGGGAAAACCCTAAGTTTCAGGCTCAGAGCTGGGGGAAAGAGGAGTCCTGCCCCTGAAGCAGGGGGGAAGCCTTCCTTGCTGGTGCCCCAGGGTTGAGGAGCGAAGTTCCTTTGGATCCGGGCCCTAGGGGCTGAGGGCGAGGCAGTAAGCGCTATAGGAGGACAAGGAGCACCAGCTTCTCCCTACACCACACAGAGGCGGCCATGGTGGAAGGGCGGGGGGTGGGAAGGCTGAGGGCGATGGCGGGGGAGGGGAGGAATCGTGGAGGCCCGCGCCGGAAGTGAGCAGTCGCGGTCCCCGGCCTCCGCCAATAGCGGCTTCCGCGGTGGCGCTGAGTCTCGGAGGAGTTGGCGGCCGACTGGCGACTGGCCTTTCTCCCTGCTGCCAATGGAATTAGGGAGCAGACAGACGGGTCTGATGGACAAGCTGAGCACCCAATAGCATCCCTCCTTTGCCCTCGGGGGGTGGGACGGGACCGCTTCCCGGAGGTGGAAAGGGAGTGCGAGGAGATCAGGAAGGAGGGGGCTGCGCCTGCGTGCATCGACGCGCACGCGCGCTGCCGGCCCCGCCCTCTTTTCCTGGCCCTCGTGGAGCTCGGGCGGCTGCGGGAGCCGGGTGTCATCCTGGGTGGATTTAGGAGATACAGCCTAGCCGCGAGTTGGCCTTGCAGGGCGAGGGAGTGGAGCACTAATCCTTAAGCACTCCTCGGGCAGACACAATCCGGTGGTGTGGAGCCGTGTCCCAGAGCCGAGAGGGCATCACACAAGTTGGCGTACACTCCAACTCAGCCCCAGTTGGGAGGGAAGAAAATGCACAGGCCACGTGTGCAAGCCAAGGCACTAGAATTCTAGTGATTGGAGCAGAGATGTTCCGAATGACCGGGCTATCTTCATCTCTGTTTTCTGTGTCTGAACTCAGCCGTCACTAAAGTCCTGCTCTCGCCCCGTAACTGAGTTCCATGCTGATCAGCTCTGTGAGGGCCGGGTGTCCTCAGTTGTGTGTGCATCTGCTTTTGCAGTCTGGTTCCACATCTTTGCGTCTCAAATGCATGTTCCATTTTTTTCCCCCACGAGGACTTAAGTTTGCCTTACACGGCTCCAAAGGCAAAGTTTTTGCTGTTTTTAATACCTACTTTAAAAAAAATCCATGCCCCTGCTTTGTTTTTCCTGCAAAATGGAGCTACAAGGGCTGTCTGTTAGCTTTGAGAAAATTATGTGAAATAGTGGGTGTGAAACCACGTTGTAAATTGGAAAATACTACAGACACTAGTTATTACCACTGTGCACGTGATCCTATTTATTACTCTTGTAATGGCTTAACATTTAACTATAAACTTTTTTTTAATATTTATTTTTATGCATACAAGAACTGGGGTGCAGTCCAGAGGTGCAAGGGGTGAGAGGACTCACCAGAGACAGAGTGGGGAGCAGAATAGACTGATTGACTGAAATACACTGCTGAGGGGAGCAGTGGGCAGGTCAAGAGAGATCTGTCACCTCCCTAGTCCGAAATTGAACTGGTGCTGTAGAGGCTGCCCAAAGCTTCCTAGCGCTGGCTTTAACTGTCCCACCACCACCGAGGGCCCTCTTTTTTTTTCAATGCTGAGGGGAAGCTTTTGAGTATGCTTTGGAATCCCTCTAGATGCAAAGCCACTAGAAGCGCTGCATTAGCCACTGAAGAATACAAAGTTATTACAATAATATTATTTTGTGTCAGTGGAAACATGAAGATACATTGGATGGAGAGAGAAAAGTAACAATGTATACTTACACTTCTATTTGTGTTGGGCTTTTGAAAGTAGAACGTAGGGGACTATATAAATATTTAGGAAGACTATGTGAAGCATAGACAAAACTGTTACATTGGTTGTTTCTGGGTAGGAGACCAGAGATTTATATTTTACTATATATGCTTTGTTAATTAAAAAATTAAGTACCTTGTTTTGTTTTAAAGATTTCATTTATTTATTTTTGCATAAAAGCTGGGGTATAAGTCAGAGGTGAGGCAGAAGCTGTGGAGGTGTGTGTGAAAGGATTCGCCAGAGACAGAGTGGGGAGCAGAACAGGCATATTTCCTGAAATACACTGCTGAGGGGAACAGCGGGCAAGACAGGAGAGGTCTGCTGTGTCATATGTGGGTCACCTCCCTGACTGGGAAGGAACTCAGGTGGTGACAGTGGGCCATCCCAGTGGTAGTACTGAGACTTAATCTGTAAGCCACCAGGGAGTCCCCTGAATTAAGTACCTTGTATATGTAATGTTTCTTAAAAAAATACCTGATTTAGGGCCCTCCCTGGTGGCGCAGGGGGTTAAAGCACAGCATTGAGAAGCTAAAGCCACTTCCACATGAGTTCGATCCCCACCTGCCCTGAAGGTGATCCACATGGCGCGGCAGACCTCTCCTGACCTGCCTGCTGCTCCCCTCAGCAGTGTACCTCGTGTATCTGCCTGTTCTGCTCCCCACTCTATCTCTGGTGAAGCCTCTCACCGCCCCTGCACCTCTGGCCTATACCCCAGTTCTGTATGCACAAATAAATCTTTAAAAAAAAAAAGTTTGTTATAATGTGTATTATTGGGACAACTTGAAAAAGTTTGAATATATACTATAGATAAGGCAGCAAACTTCCTTATTTTTGACAAATGGATAGTGGCTATGTAAGAGAATGTCCTTATTCTTTAGAACTTTAGATAGATATAGTATGTGTGCATATATACTTTATACATAAATATATAAGAACATATATTTATGCATATATAAATGCTACCCTTTATATTATACATATATATACTCATACACACATACACACACATATGAGAGAATGACAAAGAATATTTGGCAGGCCCTCCCTGGTAGCACAGCAGGTTAAAGCGCAGCACTACGAAGCTATCCACAGCCACTGCAACACCAAGTTCAATTGCCAGCCAGGGAGGTGACCCACAAGATACAGCTGACCACCCTTGTCCCACCCCCTGCTCCCTTCAGCAGTGTATTTCACTGGATCTGCCTGTTCTGCTCTCTGTCTCTGGCAAAACCTCTCACCCCCTATACCTCTGGCCTGTACCCCAGTTCTTCTATGCAAAAATAAATAATTTTTTTTTTTTATTAAAGGCCCTCCTTGGTGGCACAACAGTTTAAAGCACAGCACTGCAAGCTGGCCACAGCCACTTCAGTACAAGTTCTATCCCAGAATAATGATGATGTTCACAGATTGAGAAACAGTTGCCACAATAAGCTTAGTAAACATCACCCTGGAGGTGATCCACATGGTGCAGCAGACCTCTCCTGTCTTGCCTGCTGCTCCCCTCAGCAATATGCTTTGATAATCTGACTGTTCTGCTCCCCACTCTGTCTCTGGTGAATCTTCTCACTGCTCCTGCACGTCTGACCTGTACCTGAGTCCTGTATGCATAATGAAGGAAGTACAGAAGTTATTTGTACTCTTCAGGCAATATTTCTATAAGTTTGAAATATTTCTATAAGCCAGGGAGTGACCCACATGGTGTGGCAGACCTCTCCTGACACTCCCAATGCTCCCCTCAGCAGTGTATTTCAGTCAATCCACCTGTTCTGCTCCACACTCTAGCTCTGGTGAGCCCTCTCACCTCTAGCAACTCTGACCCACTCCCCCGTTCTTGTATGCATAAATAAATAAATCTTTATTTAAAAAAAAATCTTACTCCTAGAGCAGGTTTAGGTTCACAACTATTTCTAATTTTCTTTTTTCTATAATAAAGTTACTATGAACATCTTTATAATGTATTTTAGTGGGCACATGCACTCATTCTTCTGCTGCATCGTGGAAGAGACTGGTGTCCTGCTTTGCTAGCTCCTGCTCAGTAGGAAAGTGGTCAATTCAGTTTCTACTCCTTCAGCTATGCAAGAGAGCTCTGGTGAGCACACACCCTCACCAACTCTTGGTATTGCCCGGTTTTTAAACTATATTTTTTCTAGTACAGGTTTATTAAATTGCATGACTTACTTTTTAAAATTTAGATTTCTGAAATACACTGCCAAGAGGAGCAGAGGGTGAGACAGGAGAGATCTGCCATGTGTGGGCTGGTTAGCTCCCTGGCCAGGGGTCAAACTCAGACCATAGGCAATAGCATTGAGACTTAACTCTTATACCACCAGCAAGGTCCCTCTAGAGTAAAAACTGGAAACAGTTAAAAAGTTCATCAACAGTAGAGGACAAATAAATATAATATAGTGTTCATACAATAGAATAGTATATAGAAATAAAAATAAATAAACTCTGTTGCTTGTACCATATTGGATGCATGGCACACACATGATGTTGACAAAAAGAATACACATGTAATGCTAAAAATAAGTGAGCTATCAAATGTGAAAAGCCATACTGGAAATTCAAGTGCATATTGTCAAGTGAAAGAAACCAGTCTGAAAAGGATACATACGGTGTCCAACTTTGCTACTTTCTCGAAAATGCAAAACTGGCAACAGTATATAAAGGATCAGTGGTTGCCAGGGGTTGGGTGGTCAGGTGGAGGGATGCATAGACAGAGCACTCCCTGAGGATTGTTAAGCCAATGAAAATGCTTTATCTGATACAATAGATAATAATAGGCAGATGTCATTGTACATTTGTCATAGAATGTACAACACTAAGCATGAACCATCATGTGACTCATGAGTTCTGGATGATAATGATGTGTCAGGGAAGGTTTATCAGTCGTTACAAATGTACCACACTCTGGAGGAGAATATTGATAACCAGGTATATATATTGTTTGATCTCATGTCTATGAAACTCAAAAACACAAGAACCCAGGTTGCCTTGGAGGCCTACGGGTTGTCTCAGCGCTATCACTGCTACAGCCTGAGTTCCCTCTGGGCCAGGGTGCTAACCCACATATGGTGCTGCAGGCCTTGCCCAGTGCACCCCTCTGCAGTGTATTTCAGTAAATCTGTCTTTTCTGCTCCCCACTCTGCCTGTGGTGAATCCTCTTACCTCCTGCACCGCTGATATACACCCGGTTCTATGCAAAAATAAATAAATAAAATCTTTTTTTAAAATACAAGGGCAAGCCCTCCCTGGTGGTGCAGCGGGTTAAAGCACAGCACTGAGAAACTAAAGCCACTTCCGCATGAGTTGGATTCCCGCCTGCCCCGGAGGTGACCACATGGCCAAGCAGACCTCTCCTGACCTGTCCGCTGTTCCTCTCAGCAGTGTACTTCGTTGATCTGCCTGTTCT